TTGCTCAAAAGTTAGGCTAACCAGAAAAAATAATTCAAACTTTTTAAAATCTTCCCTGGGAGATAGAAGGTCTTCATTTAAAAGAGTTATGACGCCTCATGGTGAAAGCCGAGGCTGATGCCCCTTTTGACAACCAGAGAAACCATTATTTAGGCACATGGAATGTTCGTACAATGTGAGAGACCTGGAGAGCCATCCAAATTGCTGCAGTAATGAAAAGATACAACCGGAAGGTACTTGGAATCAGTGAAACACATTGGACCCAGGTTAGACAACAAAGACTAGATTTAGGAGAGCTACTTTTATACTCCGACCATGAAGAAGAAAATGCTCCACATACATAAGGAGTTGCCATGATGTTGTCCAAACAAGAACAAAAAGCACTTGTAGGATGAGAATCTCATGAACCCAGGATCATCAGAGGAATGGACCACTGTCGGAACATTGGATAAGATACAAGAAGGCAGCAATCAATATCAGCCGAACAAGAGCAGAAAAAGTCAAGGCACAAGCTGAATACTCAGAAGTAAACTAGCAAGTGAAGAGGAGCATCAGAACCGACAAACGTAAATATGTGGGAGATCAAGCAATGACAACGGAAAAGGCTGCAAGAGAGGGAAACATGAGACAACTGTATGATACAACAAAAAAACTTGCTGGAAATTACCGTAAGCCAGAAAGACCAGTGAAAAGCAAGGAAGGCAAAGTAATCACCGACATTGAAGAACAACGAAACAGGTGGGTAGAACACTTCAAAGAACTCTTAAATCGGCCAGCTCCACTGAACCCTCCCAACATCGAAGCAGCAAACACGGACCTACCGATTATTGTTGGCCCACCAACAGTTGAAGTGATCACCATGTCCATCAGAAAAATCAAGAGTGGCAAAGCAGCAGGACAAGACAACATTCCATCAGAGGCACTGAAAGTAGAAGTAGCAGCAACTGCCAATATACTCCACATTCTTTTCAGTAGGATTTGGGATGAAGAACAAGTACCAACAGACTGGAAAGAAGGACTTCTGATCAAAATACCAAAGAAGGGCAATCTTAGCAAGTGTGATAACTACAGAGGAATCACTCTTCTCTCAATACCAGAAAAAATCTTCAACAGGGTATTGTTAAACAGAAGGACTCCGTAGACGCCCAAATTCGAGATCAACAGGCTGGATTCCGTAAGGATCGATCGTGTACGGACCAAATCGCAACTCCATGGATCATTGTGGAGCAATCCATTGGATGGAATTCATCACTCTACATCAACTTCATTGACCACGAGAAAGCAAATGATAGCGTGGACGGGACGACACTATGGAGGCTTCTTCGACACTACGGTGTGTCTGAGAAGATAGTGAATAACATACGGAATTCCTATGATGGATTAAACTGCAAAATCGTGCATGGGGGACATTTGACAGACTCGTTTGAGGTAAAGACCGGTGTCAGGCAAGGTTTCCAACTCTCACCCTTTCTCTTTCTCCTGGTGATCGATTGGATTATGAAGATGTCAGAATCTGGAAGGAAGCACGGGATAAAATGAACAGGTAGGATGCAGCTTGACGATTTAGACTTCGCAGATGATCTGGCTCTCCTATCACAAACGCAACAACAAATGCAGGAGAAAACGACCAGTGTAGCAGCAGCCTCAGCAGTAGGTCTCAATATAAACAAAGGGAAAAGCAAGACTCTCCGATACAACACAATATGCACCAATCAAATTACACTTGACGGAGAAGCTTTGGAGGATGTGGAAACCTTTACATATCTGGACGGCATCATTGATGAACACGGTGGATGTGATGCAGATGTGAAGACGCGAATCGGTAAAGCAAAAGTTGCATATCTACAATTGAAGAACATCTGGAACTTAAAACAATTGTCAACCAACACCAAGGTTAGAATTTTCAATACAAATGTCAAAATAGTTCTACTGTATGAAGAGAAAACTTGGGGAACTACAAAAGCCATCATCCAGAAGAAACAAGTGTTTATTAACAGTTGTCTACGCATAATACTTCCGATCCGTTGACCAGACACTATCAGCAACATCCTACTGTGGGAGAGAACAAACCAGATTTCAGCGGAGGAAGAAATCAGGATGAAGAGCTGGAAGTGGATAGGACACGCATTGAAGAAAGTATCCAACTGCGTCACAAGACAAGCCCTTACTTAGAATCTTGAAGGCCAAAAGGGAAGAGAAAGACCAAAGAACAAATTATACCGAGAAATGAAGACAGACATGAGAAGAATGAACAACAACTGGACAGAACTAGAAAGGGAGGCTTAGGACAGAGTGGATTGGAGAATAGTGGTCGGCGGCCTATGCTCCATTAGGGGTAACAGGCGTAAGTAAGTAAGTGTGTTCTACGGGATGAGGTTGCTAACATCCTGTTGAATTTTTTTTTCAGGTTTGGGAAAGGTAGTAGCCCTAGAAGTGTTATTTTAGATAAACTGTAACATTGCACAACTTAGAAGTATAAGTAAGTAAAGCATTATTTTAAAGTTCAGCGATAAAATAGGCAGAAAATTGTTAGGAAATATTACAAAGATGACAATGATTAAAAGAATACTTACACTATATCATTTATATTATAATTAAGTATTAAATTTGTCAGTAACAGATGAAAGTCTTACTTTTAGTCCTACTACTGTAAAATGTTTATATAACAGATCTTAGTAATATTTGTAAAGGGTTTGAAATTTCATGTTGTTTATGATCAGAACTTTAATCAATTAGTCACTATTGCGATATGAGTATCCTTAGCAGATATTACCATTTATCCATTAACTTTTTTTATTCAAGTTGTATAGTGAGTGTCTAGCAGTGTAATTCAAGATGACCATTTCATCTTAGATGAAATAGCTATTTTAGCTAAATGGTAAACCAAATAAAATCGTTCAACTTTCATATTTAATTGTGTATATATCATTAATTAGAATAAATTAATGATGATATTAAATAGAAAAAACATATTTGTAAAATCTCAGCTAATGAATTTGAAGTAAATCCAACGTTTCGCCTGGCAATCTGGTGCAAGCTTTTTCCTATTTAATGTATTACATCAATTCGGCGCCCAAATACTTTAAAGGTGTTCGCTCTAATTTTGACGAAAGTTCTTATATAATGATGATATTGTAGTGATATAGAATTATTTTCATGAGCACATTCTAAGTCTTAATTATTACTGTTAAAATTATTATCTTGTATCTAATTTAAAAAAAGGAAACAAACTTTCTAGTTTATTGTGAAAAGTAGACACAATTATGAATATTGACAAGAAATTTTTAACACAATATAATTTATTGTTGCTGTGACAACTTGTAACCAATTTTGTTTAATTTATCTTTCTAGTATAAATAATATTCTATATAGTTGAAGTCACGAGTCGATTGAAGCTAGACCACCATGGAAAACCTGGAAGCACTGCTTGACGGCCGTTTCGTCTTATTATAGGACTCCTCAGCAGTGCACATCCATGGTGGTATAGCTTCAATTATCTCATGATTTCAACTATATAAAATTATTAAAATCTTCACAAACCTCCCCCCTTCTGATAATAAATAATATTCATCAATTTCTAATATTAAAATGATAAAAAAACATAATTCATTTATTTTTTTTAAAATTAAAATTATCAATCATTTTTTCTAATATTCTATTCCATTGAATGTAAGTTAATAAAAAAAATGAATACAAACTTACATAAGTACATGCTTGTAAAAATTCTTCATAACTTATCACACCATCTTGATTCAAATCTAATCGCTATTCAAAGATTAAACAAAAGAAAAATTATTTTTTTTATTTGTTTCCGTGAATATTTCTTTCAGTTGAAGAGGATCTTATTTCATATGTAAACTAAGAGATATATTTTAAACATTAAACTATTTAAGAACAATAACTGACGAAAGTCGATGAATGAATAAAGTAGTCCCTTATAAAAATATGAACTAATTCAATTGGATACACAATTTGTTAACAAAGTGAAAAGAAAATTTACAAAATAGATAGTTAAGGAGGCAAAATAATAACCTTAACGATCGTTAAACTAACTACAGAGAATCTAGTTTGAGAAATGAAGAAATGAAATCGAGGGTTAAAACATATGAATTAACATTGAATCTCTACACTTCTCTTAGGAGTTAATAATTACCTCAAAAAATATATAAGTACTTCTATCCAACAAGTAATTTGAATTAAAAATCTATAACCGATTGTTTCTCAAATCTTTACAACATGTGCTGAATCAGGACTACCTAGACATGTTACATATTTCAACAGATAGAATTTGTCAAATATTGTCTAAAGCAAAATAACACTACTCATTATGATCCAAGAGACCTTTAGTGTATAATTCACAACTATGTGAAATGTTTAATATCTGAAGTCGTTCAACAAACTTCATTGAAGCATGTTTGAAGATGACCTTTCAGTGTCATTTTGTGTACCGATCGCATACGTAAGCAAACTTTAACTACTATAGGAGTTTTTAGGTGTTATAAAACTAAATACCTTGATTTGGTCGTTATTTTCTAACATTATTATGGTACATGTTATTCTTATCGTATTTAGTTCTTAGTAATAATGATTACAAAATAAATCACATTCAAACAGTGAGTTCATTTGACATATACTTAACTTAACTTATTCAGTTGTTTAGCCCTATCTAATGATTTTTGAACATTGTAGTTTATAACAACGGAAGGATTTTCCAGTTAAACAGTGAGAATTTAATTCCAGACTCAGATAAAACAGTAAAGATCAATGCTTTCTGATAATCGTTTTAAACTCTATTTGTAGGCATCAGTTTGTCTACAATGAATATTGCACTTTAACTATTTATAAATAGTATGTTACATTCAGCAAAGGTGACGAAGTTGATTTCAATTTTTACCGTATAATTGTATTTTTTCGTGTTTTGACTTAGTTACATACTTGTTTACTGTAAATATGATCAAACATGCAATGACAAAGAATATTCCTGAAAAAAAAGTTTCTTTCCACTATTCAATTATTTGCAGATTACAGTACATTTGAAAATATTGCTGTCAATCATTTCAGAAACTGGTTACATGAAAATTTATATTTTTTTAAGTAGTATATACCTTTTCATTTGTGATCGAAAAAGTGTGTGAATTAAAATATTTACCAAAATGTTATGAAATAACTTCTCACCATTACTATGTGATGCTGAGCGTATTTACTTTATATTTTAATCAAAGTTTGTCTATTTTTGCGTTTTGCAATATACTATAGCAACTCACGCACAATTGAGTTTGTTCAGGCTTAATTTGGTTAAGCCCTTTTGTTAACTTATTTAACGGACAAATTCATTCGTACAGTAACAAACCTATCTATACTATTGTACATTTATTATTGTTGCACTTGTATGAATATGTAAGCATGAGCATTGCTTACCCCCAACTCACATATTCATTCTGCTAACTTTAGTGTTAGTCGCTTAATTGATTCGATAATTCCTTCATTTCACCATGTATATATATACGTACATCTTAATCATGTTCATTAACCCGATCACTCACTCGCTTGCTTTTTGGCACCTCTCTTTCATGCTTGCTCAACGTGCCTGTAATTTTGGCAATATGTGCGTGGTTCAACAATAAACGTGACCAACACTTCGTAATCGCTTTCTGATGTATACACCCTTGGGGCGTTATCTAGTAACGGTTATCAGGACGAACAATATACAAAGTGTAAGGATAATATCAAATATCGATCACCACAATACTATTTAAACAAACATTATTGCGAGATGCATTGAGCTATCATTTTTTGTTTCGTGACCGGTAATGTTTCAATCCTGTAACGAATCACTCATTTTTGTGATACTAGGGTTTCAATACTTAGCTCGTTATTTCAACTATCATGGTATCTCTCTTTTCCTTCCAATTTTTAGTTTCTTCATGTATCCTAATTTTGGGAAGTTTTTATTTTATTTTAAGTGATTTAGTGATTTTCGAAACATGGTGCTTAATTTATTTTCACTATCTTCTGATGCTGTTGTTTGACATCTCTGTATGTTATCTGATACCTAGTGATAATTGTTGTTATTCCTATTATTACCAACTTATTGAAAGGATGGATTCACCTCTTGATTATACTCTAAGTAAACAAACGGACACGTGAACATTTCATAACTTCAAGTTTGTAAATTCTTAGTGTCAATTTGGCCTCCTTGTTATCATTGCAGTGCTTTGAAATAAATCTCATATTTCGGTTTTTATATTTTTATCCAAATAGAATAGGTGTTCAGGCTTTATAACAATGGTATGTTGGCCTAACTAATTATATGGATAATCTACTAAGTTTTCTGTTATCTAAAAATTCTCCATAAAAAAACATTTAAACACTGAACCAGTTAACATAGTTGAATTGAATTATTGACTTTATGTCGTTAAACCATGTGACATCATTTATTCACAAAATGCTTTTATGAAATCCTTTTATTGTATATGCATATTTCTTATTTCGATGCTAACAATCTTTGAACAACGAATAGTTTGGTAAGACTGAAGCTTTCATCAGACTCATAGTCCATTTTAAGATCAAAATATTTTTTTATTTATTTTAACTATATAAAGTGAAATTCATTTGGTATTGTTTGCTTGTATCTTTCCATTGTTGTTTAGGACTGCCATTGTTCAGTCTCTTGTCGGCATATGTGCATTTTATGTGAATTGTCTTGATATTGCCTTAAGTCACAAGCTTTATAAACAAAGGAAGATGGTGGCTAGCAATGGAATCTATGACGCGCATTTCGCCCTATTTGGGACTCATCAGCTGGTTGTACCTGAATCTCAGAGCGAACCTCAACTCTAAGACGAAGGTACATCCAGCTGAAGAGTCTCAAATTAGTACGAAACGTGCGTTCTGGATTTCACTGCTAGTCACCATCCATCTTTGCTTATATAAAAAGTAAACTTTAAAATGTTCTCTAAAAAAATTGGATTTTTATTATTTCTCTAGTGTACAAATATCTCATTGATCAGTGACATAAAATATGTTTAACTTATAATTTAGTTCACTGGTAGTTAACCACTAAAAGATTTATGATGAAAAGTTGTGATAATTTTTCAAAGAAAACTTGGAGTTTTAATGGTCAGAAGTAGACACGTAATTCTTAGTTAGTCTTTTTCCAAAGGAGAATTTTTAACTTTGTGCTAAGTTAGTTTTTATGAGAAAAGCATAGTGATATTTTAGTTGCTTTCATAGTTTGCACTGATTCAAAATCAGGAATTCGTTAAGTTGTGTTATCTGTAGTCATAAAACAATTCATGCACATCACTGAAGTTTTTTGGACATATAAGCTGGATCAGTAAATATCTGTTTATCTGTTTATTCGTTATTTAATCTTTTTACAATTGTCGACTTAATTTCTCATTTATCGGTTAGCATCACCTTGATGTGTTTTGTCATGTAGACTTCAGTGATGTTAGTTCCTAGTTAGTTATGAATAGCTGCTACCACGTAAAATAAATCTGTCACATGAAGCATAAAGTGGACAAATTATTATTGCCTAATGGCTGTTTATTAAACTGATTTATCTTGTTATTCAGCCAATAACGATAGTGATAATGATAGATGGTTCAACAACACTCACTTATTAATAGGAGTGATGCGATGGGTAAGAATTGGGTTTAAAAGTCGGACCTTAATTGACTGGAGAGTAAGTGACTTACATGATGATTTTCTCCAACTTTCCATAGTTTTCGATTATTTTTTCATCTCAAAACTTTATTTGTATGCATATGCTTCTATTGCATGAAAAACCTATTCTGGGTAGTAATCTTAACTTAATTTCAAATCATCCGGGATCATGAATCAATACTTCAATCTTGTTAAAATACATTACTCTATCAGTGTCAATCATCTAGTGATCAGCATTCTGCTGTCATTTTAGCGGTCGAAAATTATTTTGTTAAATCATAAAACTTCAATTTATTTCATGGACTCAGATTTTTTATACGTTAGCGAAATAAGACTATAATCTCTATCAGACTTACTGAACTAAGTTAACTATTAGGTTTGTATGTGAATGATCCTAGATGAATTTACTGAACTTTCGTTCGTGTTTGTTTTTTTATTTGTTGTTTTAAAGGGTGTTTTTTACAAATATTTGACCACTTATTTTAGTGGCTTGCTGAATATTTATCCATCATACAAGTTAATCTCCTATATCTTGAAAAGGAAATCATATTCACATATAATGTTAAACAATTCCAATGATATTCTACGAATAAAATCTAAAAAATAGACATTTACTTTATCTGACTATTGTTTTGAAATGAAGTATAGTGTTTGTAAGGTCATTACTAATGCTTCGCTACAAAACAGCTATATATCCATCAATGGTCAATTAAGACTAATTTTATTAAGATACTTAAGTTGAAGAGTATAGACGCCAGTCCTCAAGATTCATCCAAACTTAGAAAAGCCAAACAAATTAAAGCTGCTTCATTATCATTTCAAGTGTTCAGTACACAATAAATAATTCATTTACAAAATTATAAAATAATTTAGCCATAAAAAACATAAAACATAACTCACTTGAAATACTCTTTCTACATGATTAGCTGTGGTCGACTCATTAATTGGTGGTTCTGTATTTCTTCCCAATAAATCATAAATTGCATTGACAACTTTAAGCATTTCACCTTTAGTCACAAAACCATCACCATTAATATCATACAATCGAAATGCCCAACGTAATTTATCATTTTGTGTACCATGCATTAAACACGATAAACATTGAATATATTGCTAAACAAACAAGTATACATTGAAAATTGATCAATATGATGGATGATAAGGATAAAGTAAATGCTTAGTAAATAATCATTAGTTTCAAAAAGTTTTTTTTCTTTTTAAAGTGGCTTGTATAAAATACAGAACTCTAATTCTGTTATTTGCGATGTGAGTACAAAAGTTATTGTAACGACAATACCTGTTCAGTTTGATTGAACCAAAATTTAGGTATGGTATTATTTCTTTGGAAAAATCGTATTATAACAAATAAAAATGAACCATTAGGATTCTGAAAAAAAAACATTTTATTTCGTACTAGAAAAGTGGTTTGAAAAGAAATTTATTAAGGGCAATCACCAACCGATACGTTCTTTAAATTTAAAGAGAAAAAGCAATATCCTCAATTAGAACACAGAGAACACCAACCCAATCACACTTGATTGAGAAACTCTGGAAGATGTGGAAACTTTCACGTAGCTGGTCAGCACCGTCGATAAACTGAGGCAATCCGATGCAGATGTGAAGGCATGGATTGGCAAAGTAAGAACCACATTCCTACAGTTGAAGAACGTATGAAACTCAACTGTCAACTCATATGAAAGTTAGAATTTTCAATACATCAACAACAACCTACTGTGTGAGAGAAAAGACCAGCTTCCAGTTCAATAGGAAATTAGGAAAAGATGATGGAGATGGGTAAGATCTACATTTTGGAGATCCTCAAACTACTTCACGAAGCAATCCCTAACTTGAAATACTGAAGCAAAACGGAAAAGTGGAAGACCACGAAGCACACTGCGTCGAGAATTGGTAATAGACATGGGAAGGATAAACAGCAACTGGAAGTGACTGGAAAGGATTGCCCAGGAGGGAGTTGGGTGGAGAATGTTGATGATGGGTCTACGCTCCTCCAAGAGGAGTAACAGGCGTAAATAAGTTATTAAGATGCATTTTAGTTAAAATCGCAACTAGTTAACTGATCAGTTAATCTACTGTGGCTTTCGATAGTTATGGAAAAACAGCTTAGTTAACATTCTACTTTGCAGTGAAATTGTTATTAGATGTTACTCTAGTTTACGTCAATAATAAATCAAATAAAGCAGTTTACGAGGGATCGATAACAATGAGTTTCTAATGCGTTTATATCTAACAATCCTATCTCTTTGATTGGATTACTTAAGAGTTTTTCCATGTTTTCCCATTTATATTTTTATGGTAGCTAAGTTTTTGAAGTTTCATTATGTAATCAATTTAGTTGTTATCAATCACTCATAAACTATCCTATATAACTTAATCATTTTCATTTTTGGAAACTAGTATTACATAATTTTAGAAGAGAGCATCATGAAGGTTTAACTGAAATCAATATTTGTGCACTTATGTGACTATCTAACTTGAACAATAAGGATTTTCAAAGTTTTTAAAATTGATAGTTTTTTAATGTAAAGAAATATTTGAGTGTCAGAAATAGTCGCTTATGTAATTGTATCAAATAATGAACGGGAGCAATAATGATTTTGATGACACTATCGGAGCTTCTATCTACTTGTTTTAATAAGTTTAAGGATGTTTAGATTATGGGTAACAGTGGAATCCGGGGAGAATGTCTCTTTCTATTTGAGACTTGTCAGGCAATGTACTCAGAATGCCTGAGTGTTATCAGTGACTAAGAGATTGAAATCCTGGATGTTAACAAAGAGATATTACAAACCTTTGTTATAATTAATAATCTCGATCTTGGAATAAAATAATAAATTTACTAATTAATAATGAGTCGTTAATGATTTTTAAAATTAAAATGAATCAATAAATTACTTTTCATAATTGAAATCATTAGTCAATTGAAGCTATACCACCATGGAAAACCTGAAGGCACTGAACGAAACGGCCGTCAAGCAGTGCTTCCGGGTTTTCCGTGGTGGTCTAGCTTCAATTGACTCATGATTTCAACTACGAAAATACTGAAATCTCCACAAAACCTCTTCTGATCAATAAATTAAAACTGTTTTATTGAATTCAACATACTTCGAAGGTTAAAGTTCCATTATGATCTTGATCAAATGACCTGAATACTAATTGAGCATATACAGTTGCATCTGAAATGTGAAAACAAAAAAATCATTATTTAGTTGAAACAAAATGTAACCTGAAATATTTTAATGAAATATAGATTTAGAATATTACCATTTCAACAAAGAGCTGATGCTTCAGTTTCTGTCTACATCAATTATCAAAGGAATATCGGTAACTGCTATGTTTAAAAGGGAATTGAAATTTCTTATATTTAACTTAGAATACAATTATTATCTTCCATTAACTGTATGAATACTTGATGTAAATATGTAAGTATTGTTTGTTTGTTTTTAAAAAAAGAGAAACTCAAATCGACTAAGCAATTAAGTGTAATCTTTCGATAAATAAATAATGGTCTGGTGAATTACGCCATTTCTTCAGTGTTAGCAGTTCCAAAGTCAATAAAAAAATTTGTCGGAATTCATCTTTCTTTAATGAGCAGGTCTGAATATCAAGAAACATTCATCTTTGATTTCAGATGATTCTGATAAAATAACTGACTGAAACGAAATACCAAAAAAATAATATCAGAAGGGGTTTTTGTGGAGATTTGGTATTTTCATAGTTGAAAGCGTGGGTCAATTGAAGCTAGACCACCAGGAAAAACCTAGAAGCACTGAACGGCCAACTCGTCCTAATGTGGAACTCCTCAGTAGTGCGCATCCACGATCTCGCCTAGTGAGATTCGAACCCAGGACCTACCAGTCTCACGCGCAAGCACTTAACCGATAGACCACTGTGCCGGCATCCGATGGTGTGTATGTCTAACTCCAACTAATCCACGAAGTTGAGGAACTGTTGCTCTGGCGCAAGACTGGTAGGTCCTGGGTTCGAATCTTGCGAGGTGAGGTCGTGGATGAGCACTACTGAGGAAACCCACATTAGGACGAGTTGGCCGTCCAGTGCTTCCAGGTTTTCCCTGGTGGTCTAGCGTCAATTGACTCACGCTTTCAACTGTGAAAAAATTAATGCAAATTTATTCTGCTGAGTGAGAATTGTATGTTTTATGATAAATGTTATGACGCAGCTTTATAAGCACTGAAATGTGAATTATAGTAGCAGAACCAAACCTTGATCACCTTTCTTACCGGTAGTAATGAAATATTGGATAGGTATCCGCCGTCTTCTTTATAAATATTGTTTCATCAAGGGATTTTGTTTGAAATGTATTTATTTACTGTGGATCAATATCGGTACTCTATATCAGATTCGTTTACCAAGTAATCCTTAGAAGTACAAGTTGTTATTACATAACGGCACTGATCATCCACCAATGAAATAATAGTTAGATTATTATTTCAGTCTATAGTACTAACTTTAGCTCAAGTTATTCATTTTATATAACTTTCTAGCACTCATTAGTTTTATGAGTAATTAAGAAATTTGAACGGATTCAAAATAAATTGAATTTCGCCATCAATTGACATCTTCAGATAAAGATTATAGTTTTCTCCAAAGGTATGATCATTTGTAATAACTGTACAAGCATTTCTAACCATAAATCTTTAATACATACATATCATTATTACTTGAGCATACAAAAAAATAGTTCAGTGTTCTTAAAAAAGAACCTGAATTAAAGGTCACGTGTTTTCTGCAAAGCTGGTACTAATCGTTTTCTGGAAATGTACATTTGATATCATTTTCTTAAATTGTACAATCGTATTCTTAGGTAATTTCATATGTGATAATTAAATCGTCTATTTTATCATAAATTATCTTTTGTGAAACAATCTACAAATACAATCGTATATAATGGGAAAACAATTTCTCCACTGAATCATCTTCATTCTTTGAATTTTATGCTAAAATTACTTATTTAACATTCATGCAATCGAAAACATAGATAATTCAATACAATACTCAGGAGTTGGGCCTAACAGTCAGGTCTTAATTGGTTGGAGAGTGACCCAGATACTGATTTTATTCAATCAACATAGCAGGTTACTATTATATTTTATGTAAATATTTTGTATATGACCATGTCATTTTATTAAATAAGAAAACTATGGAGAGACTATAATTTATGAACGAACCAGTGAAATTAAGGTTAGCAAGTCTTGGATTTCTGCGCAAAACTCGTCCATCGATATAGTAAAATAACATTTCGGCATTGTAGCTGATTTCAGTTTGTGGCGAAAATGCTAACTCTAATTCCCAACCCTAACTTATAAGTCTAAACTGTAATATCCTAATTCCTCATACTAATTTTTGACCTTCTTTTAACCTTAGTAATTAGTTGAGTTGTCTCGAGGTTACTTTATCGTCCCTAAAAGGTCATTTGTAAATCGTAGTCTCAGCGTCTTAGATTAATTATATAGTATTGTGAACAAATATTACTCAGTGACTTCATGCCATTTCATAGATTTATCGATCAGCTTGCTTTATTTGCATTATAATAATCGAAATTTTGTTTATAATATCATGAAACCCCACCTCTCATTAAATAGTTTTTCACATTTTAAAAAGGATCTTTTTCAATTCATTCTTCATTGTAAAATCACAGAATTTACGGTAAATTTATGATCAGAATTTATAACTTTAATCTTCTGCTACTCAGATTGTTTATATCATGTGTTAACCAGTAGGGAGTAATCAGCAGGAGATATTTAGTCGGTAGTTTTCTCCTATTTATAATTATCATTTGAACAAAATAATGTAAATTAAGTTTTGTTTCATAATCAAGATAATGTTGTATGATATTGTATTTAGATAAATAACATTTCGGATAGTTAAGCTATCACTAATTTTATCAAAGACTAGATCAAGTAAGGATACTGATCAGTAAATTTTAATGATATATATATAATGATAAATGACTTTACAAATTTGAATGCATTCAATCGAATTATTTTTTGTAATGGTTTAAGTAAGGGCTGAAATTGATCAGTCTTATTTTGGGATATTTGCATCCTGGATATCACTGTTAGCTACCGTCCAACTTTACTTAAAAGTATCAACTTATCTGTTTAGTTCTTTTCCTTCGTCCTCATTATTGTTAACCCATCTTACAGCAGCTCGATCTGCTGGATAAAACTATTATACTGTTATACTTACATAACATCTTGGTTGTTTTCGGAAATACTGAATTAAAAAAGGACAGTGTAGCATACATCTTATTAAACAGATGTGAAAGTTTTTTTAAGAATGAAAAAATTTTAAAATACATTTCGTTTATGAATTTAATCAGTTGATTCAACTTTCACTGGATAACAGTCAGTTCATTTGCTTATACAAACACAAAACCACTAGTTCCTTGTGTAGAATTAAACTATTTTAATTAACAAGTATGAATAGTATTGGTAGACGTGTTTACTATCCGAGTATTTATCAATTATAATTATGAAATAAACATTGAATCTTGTTTTGATTAATTTTAATAAATAAAATACTTTTGAAAAAACTTGTGCAAATGTATTTCAGGATCTAGTCAATCTACATCTAAGAAAGCTTATGTTGAATATGGTAGTATGGTAAAATAGAGAAAACGTTATCAACAGACTGATAACATGAATGTATAATGTGTCCTATAAAAGAGTAGAATTAAACTACGATTCTTGTTATGTAATTAAGTCGGATATTCAACAACTATAATTTAATTCGTTTTCTATCTGATGACCATTTTCGAGTATTCAACAATCAAGAGAGTAATTTCATGTCGATTATATGAATAATTTGAGAGACCACGACGCACATGATAAACGGTTTCCATAGACTTTAATAATACATCTTGAATTGGTTAAACTACAAATAAATATCAAATTGTAGGTTAAGAAATCCCAAAATATGAAAGTGGAGTGTGATCAGAATCAAAATGCTGTTTTCACAATGTACTACATAGTTTTAGTGTTACTAGGTTATTCGTAGTTGATTTATAGTGAGTGACTATTTATTAATAATCAGTATCTATAACCTTGTTGTTTGGTAAACTAATCAATCAACTCTGTTCTGTTTGAGCAACAAGTTAATATTTGCAGAATATGCACTGAATTATATAGTTGTGTTTATATTAATTATGATTATCTAGAATACATCTTTCAGATATTTCAGTGTAGCACTTAACTAAAGATTACAAAGAAATAAGGTGTATATTTGAAACTTTATTTCTAAAAATGCCACTAAGTAGAATGGTTATCGTGAATAATTTCGTATTAATGCCATGTTCCTACTGACTTTTGATTTATTATTATGTATGATAATAATTTAAATTTCTGAGATGTATGAATAATTTCACCAGACTATTTATGATGATTCAACGGATGCTAATACATTACAAAGACCCTTTATTCCACTACTCTATATCAGAGACAGTGCTCTAGATCGAATTCACTGTGAAGTCATATATTAAAGGATTCCTAACCAATTAACCACGTATGCCGAATGCATGAATAACAATGAATAACAATGCATAATAACAAGACTCAACAATGATCACACTGTGTCACTACCAGGAGCGAAAAATATCAAGGAATCATTCGTAAACATTTTCCATCTGTGGTAACTAGGTTTTACAAGAGTAGAGCATTAATGGTTGTATTCAAATATTTTACAAGCTTTTCATAACTGCCAGCATAATGTCGAGTCAGTTCAATGCATCAGCTGAACTGATACTGACCTTTTAGAACTTTAAACTATTAAAGATTTCCATTGTGAAAATTAAAACAACACATTGTTCGCTTGCATGTATATGTAAGCGAACGATTGTTTTCAACTAGAACGTCATCAGGTTTTATTCTAATATATATGAATATTTATACGAAAGTGTTAGACAAATCAAGGCAATTTGAATCAATAATCACAATGAAATAGAATACATCACCGAGCATAGTAGTTAAAAGTACAAGTTCATAGTGGGAAAACAGACGTATTGTTAGTAGTGAGAATATTAAGTTACGATAACAAAAGTCTTATCATTGGAAATAGGAGATCAAACGTCGATAAAAAGACTCAGAATAGGCATCACAAAACATTAAAATCATTACGTAATAAGAAGTACGTAAATAATTAGATAGTGGAGAATACAAACGGAAAGAGACGGAAAATTACAAACAAATGACAACAAAATTTTAAAAAAATAATAGTAATGTCATTTGTTATGTCCGGCCACGGAAGAGATAGGGGGATTACAAATTTCTTCCGTACACATGAATTGGGGTGAAATGTACGGATTCCTATAGCTTCAGCTATATGAAGGAGACGGGAACGAACTCCTTTGGAAAATGATGGAGGTATACGATAGATCACTCGAAATGATTTCGATTTATCTATATTATGACCATTATCAATTAGATGTGCCAAAATTGCGTATTGTTTTTGTCTGGTCCTTCTAAAACTATGCTAGTAGTTGTTCATTCGTTCGTTGGTTAAGTCGCCTAGTAGTACACCCGATATAGCTATCTCCACACGAGCAGCTGAACTTGTAAATGCACATAGAAGAGGCCAACTCAGGTAACTTTTCCTTCGTTTGAGTAAACTTCGCTAGTCGACTCCAGAAAGTCAACGCAAGATTGGCTGCATGGAATGTCCTGCTAATTACTTTCGATAACCTATCTTTCAGAGTATCCCTAGCCGCATCCCCATTGAATCGCAGTTTCATGTATAAAGGTTTCTTTCGAACAGTTGAAATCTCAGACTTCTTTCTTGTACCATACATGTACTTCTTAATGAACGCACCAGGGTAACCAATCTCTGTCAGTGAGTTATTGATAAATTCCAGCTCCTGACTTAAAGTATCTACTGAACAGACCTTTTTTGCTCTACTAGTGAGACATCTAACCAAATTTCTCTTATATCAGATAGGTGTAAAGCTACACATATAAACCTGTCTTCCTACTATCAACTTGTACTTTTAACTACTATGCTCGGTGATGTATTCTATTTCATTGTGATTATTGATTCAAATTGCCTTGATTTGTCTAACACTTTCGTATAAATATTCATATATATTAAAATAAAGCCTGATGACGATCTAATTGGAAACAATCGTTCGCTTATATGTGTTCTTTTAGAATTTCAGTAAACACCTACATCGTCATTGGTTTTCCTACAACCACCTGTATTCGTTAAAAAATTCTTAACAAATGAAAGGATTGACCCATAAAAGTGAATAAAACCATAAGTTTTAAATGATCATATAGAATTACATTACATTTGTATAATTTACAGTACATTCTACTGATATAAACGTTTAATGTTAGTTGATTATATACCATTCTCATAGTCTGTCTCAGTATAATACATCCGAATAATTTCCACATTGTTTTTTATAATATTTTCTGGACAAGATTAATAAATAAATCCTTTACAAATAATCATAAATCAAATCTGTCCATTTCTAATTGAGTTTAAATGTATCTGATACAAAGCATATACACATTTATTTAAAGAAAAAGCTAGACATTAACACCGTTGGATGCCGACCAGCTCAATGGTCTCGCACGTGAGACCGAAGGCCCTAGGTTCGAGTTCCGCACGCGGGGTGGTGGATATGCGCCGCTTAAGAGTCCCATACTAGGATGAAACGGCCGTCCAGTGTTTCCAGGTTTTCCATGGTGGTCTAGCTTACATCGACTCATGAATTCAACTATTAAAATTACTACAGTTTCCACAAACCCCATTCTGAGAATAAGTATTTATCAAACTTTAAAAGAAAATGTCTTCTGAAATAAAAATGTGAATTAAGTATCATTAATTTATACACAAAGACACTATAATTGATTGAAACAAATGAATAGAAATTTCGCTGTAGACTACTCTCATAATTTGAACATTGTAATGTTGGGAAAGCAAATTAATGTATTTATGGCTTTTAGTAAGACTAAAATTTAAAACATAATGGCTGTAAATTCGCATGGTATTATTTGCTTGTATCTTCTTATTGTTATTTAGGACTGCAATTGTTCAGTCTCTTGTCAGCATATATGCGTCCTATACGGACTGCCTCGATATCGCCTTAAGTCACAAGTTTTATAAGCAAAGTTGGATAGTGGCTAGCAATGGAATCCAGGACGCGCATTTCGTCCTATTTGAGACTCTCCAGTTGGTTAAACCTGCATCTCAGAGTTGATGTTTACTCTGGGACTAAAACCCGATTTCGTTCACTTCAAACGCAATCAACTCTGCGATGCAGGTACATCCAGCTGATGAATCCTTAATAGAACGAAACGCATGTCTTGGATTCCCCTGCTAGCCACCATCCATCTTTGCTCATAATGACTGTAATTCAAATAAACGTTTAAGCTTACAAATGATTAGAGGTTATTTTTATGAACTCTACTCTAAAGCAAATACCTTTTAGTCACTAAACCTTTTTTTAACAAAACAATTACTTGATAAGTTTACCATCTAAATAATTTATTTAACTGTAATTATAATTGGAAAGTATTGAATTTTATTACACACTTGAAGGATGGACTTATCAGAGTTATATTCTGAAGTAATTTGCTTGCAAAATAGATTGCTATCCTTTTAATCTAGTCCAATCAATCAATTGAATAAATACTGGACTGATGATTTATGCATTATACATTAAGGATGGTGCCATGATATATGAGTCTATGATTATTCAATCAATGCAAAATATTTATTACTTATATTCAATGTGAACACACTTCAGTTTGTTCTGTAATAAATTTGATTAGGAAAAGTAATAAATAAGATTTAATGTTAATATTAGTTAAACTTGAACGGGAAGATTTGATGATTGATAGACGTGAAACTATTTTAGTAATATGTAGTGTTTATCTAATTATTATGTTGTTTGATTTCACTCATTATGTATCATCATTCATTAACAAGCACATGCAGGGTCTGTATTACTTTTTATATAAACTTTACAACGAATCGACTCTATCCAACAAGACATAACTTAATAATTTTGAATAGCTTAAGAGTGTGTTATGAAAGGGATGTTCAGTAAAATGACAAATGACCAAGGCAACAAGATATGTATTTCTACGAATCTATTAGTAGTGTTGGTAGTTGACATATAATATAAATCAAACAGTAAAGTAGGAATTATATAAAATATTGTTTAAAATTCAGACAAAGAGTACGTATATAGTTCTTCGTTCCAGAAAGAAAAACTGGTTTAATAAACAAGCAATACTTTCATAGATTATATAAAATTAAAAACTATTCGCCTGTTCTTCTAGAATACTTAAATGTAGTCGCATTTTACATCCGTTTTTATTTAGAAGGAATTAAGTCCAGATTATCAATCCAAATGAAGACTTTTTTGGTGGTCCACTGATCTGACTTCATTTTCAAAGAACGAATAAATTAATTATGAACCTAAATCTTCCATTTCACTTGATAGATTACGTAGGCTAAACCCGTTTATGTGACGGCTTTAATAAGAAGCAAAATAAGAAGTTACATTTGATGAATTTATTTCAGGCACTCATTTGTTCAGACAAACATTAAGAATGAGTAGTGAGAAAACCAAGCGTAGAAGAAGGTCGGAGAAGGCGAACACGCCAACTTCATTCTACAAAACTTGACTCAATATTTAAATCCGGATAAAAATAAGCCGAATATAAGTGATGAATAGGGTAGGCAACAAACACATAAGCACATATAAAAGCAGTCACGATTAATAAGCACATAATTGCTAAGCTCAAAATATGAGTCAAGGGGAATGAGTGAATCGATCTATCTGACAGCTAGAATAAAATATATGGACTTGACATAGTACTAGACACAACAGTTTGATACGGGGTTTTGGCCATAAGATGTTACATACTGTTTAATAATTTCACGTTAAATTATTCCACGATAAGTTATTTGAATTATTCAAGTTTGATTCATTTCATCAAATAAAGCAAACAAATATGTACATGAAAATTAAACTGTCATCTTCATAACATTTTCAAATGAATGTACGGACAGTGCACTTCAGAGTTTAGATGCTAAAATTAAGGTAATAAGTTACATATAACCATTCTTTTTCTCTGTAGCTTATCTAAAAATCATATCCTGTTGTTGAAATCTGTTGGCTAGATTTTATTAGGATTATTTTTAAAAATGATCAAAGCGTTGTTTAACTATACACCATTATCATCCTTAAAACACGTAACTATCACTTACCTCCTTGAGGGAAAAATTTACAGTAGATATCTTTAAATGAATCTTCGTTAAGTGTACCAGCTGGACATTCCTAAAAAACAACAGAGGAAAGAAGGAAATAGCTAATTTTTAAAAACATAGCTTAAAATATTGAAAATATTTAATTTTCCTTTTAAAAACATTGTTTGAGAGACTGGAAATAAGATACAATGACTTCAATTCTATCAATCTTCTTTATTAGTTTAAAGTAAGTCGTTGAATCAATTGCATATAGTCTCTCATTATGATTATTTCTATCATTTTGTAGATGAATGACATAATAGAAAACTTTGTCACGTTTAATAAATAACTTTATCAATGGAAATTTCACTAAGGTAGGTATTATGTAAACTAGGTTTTTATTGATCAGTCAGTCAATCATACTCTATGTAGAACCTGGTACATATGTATATCAGTTCAGTTTGTTACACTCTATTAACACAGTGAGAGGAAATTCTCAAAACAAACCCTAGAATTGTAGAGAAACTAGCAGTACTAGTGGTAGTAGAAAAGATTAGTCATTGAAAGTATGATGAGGGAAAATATAAATTTGTGAAATAAGTTTTTTTTATTAGGAACTCAGAAACTTGAGACCTAAGAGAAGATTAAGAGTGAATGCATTTGTTCAATTACGATCGATTTAGAGCCATGCCTCTCAAAGTCTCTAACCATTTGTTATGATAATCACGCAGATCCCGAACAGGTAGTATAAACCTACCTATATGAATGAGTTCAACATTCAGTGTCTTTATGGACTGGTATCATATCTTCGTTGTATTACTCCTAACTTTCTCCTAACCTCCTAATACAACAGCTATCACAATACATCGAGGTCGTCGGCGGATGTGGAAAAGTAATAAGTTTCCCAGTCATCATGCTTGATAAAGATTCACTACATCGTCAGTATATTTGCCAAACATACCTGGTATTCTGCCTTCAACCTTGAAATTGCTAACTAGATGGTCCCAACAAATATGAGCGAAGGATACAAGACACCCATGACTGAATCCTAGTAACCTACGAGTATCTGCTAATTTTAAAAGCCATATTTCACGGCCACAAAATAGAATGGGCTAACTGCTGAGCAGTAGACTCGTTTTTCATTTGGTAGATGGATATCTCACCTATGCCACAAGTGACACAAGTTGAATCCGTTTACAGATTTTGTGAGACAACAACTCATAAGGGTTGATTATACTTCCAACACAAGTGAAGTGGTGGACCCACTCAAATTCTTCACCCTCTATCATTGATTGAGAAGCTGTTGCAGACCATTCTTGAAGCAAAACTTGACACTTAGAAGGGAAAAACACACCGCAGATATGCTTGGATTGTTGAGTAAGGCGGTCAGAAGACTTAACATTTTATCAGCGTCTCCAGCAAACAGAGCTATATTATTCTAATTCAATAAGAGGATCTCCTAGTGGGATGATGAGAACGTTGTCTTAATATATATAAATATATATATATATATATATATATATATATATATATATATATGAAAAAGCCAAATAAAATTGGGAAAATAGAAAAACCAAGATGAACACAACTTGAAGTTGTTAATTGCGTCTACAGTTCACCTTAAGATTTAACTCGACCAGTAGTGTTGGATTAGAGAGCTAATACACATATATAGAGATGTGCAGTTAAATAACAAATTCGCTGAAGAGATTCCTTCGCTGAATATCTTGTCTTCGATGTTTCAATAAACACTGTGAAATTACACTTGTAATGTTTCGATCAATCTGGTGGTTTGAGGATTGAAATTTTTAAATGTATTTCTATTATTCGTTAGCTTTTAAAACTGTTACAAATTACTGAGTGTACATTTAAAATGATTTTAAATATCAGTGAAAGATGTCTCAGGGGTGCAAGTCTAAGTATTTACCGCAGATAATTAAGTTTTACTTTTTTGATGACTTTACTTTATTCAAATGAAAACTAAATGATTATTTCTAATCTATTTGAGTAATAAATAGATTTAATTACCATATATACGATGGTATACGAAGCGATCTCTGTTCAGAAAACTTTCATTAAATAGAGTCAACTCAAGTGTTTCAGTTTTTAAGTGAACGATATGAAATGAGCATCAGTTTCAAAAAAGATTTCAGTGTAAACATGTATAAACCAACTCCCACAAGTTGTTTTTTTTAAAAAATCGGGCAATAAAAATTAATTTTAACTATGGGCATTTGTTTATGCTATTTATCTGATGAGTCCATAACATATTAAATTATGGACATTTTCAAAATACACAGTTAGCTAGACTAAAATGTAGTAGAATTCTTTATAGACTATTCTTCGTTATTCAAAAGTAGTCATCATGATGGAACATAAGATATCCTTCTTAAAGCATATCTGTGTACATTATTCTACGTATTAGCTTTATCTAACAGAATTTATAACATTGATAATCATTCGTTTAGTATTGTTTGTTTGAATCTTCCCATCGATGTTTAGGACTGCAACTGGTCAGTCTCTAATTGGCATATGTGCATACTGTGCGTATTGCCTCGATATAGCCTTAATTGGGAAGATTCAAACAAACAATACCAAATGAATTTAAACCTCACTCCATCGCACAAGCAAGTGGCTATCAGGACTCAGTGGCCGAGTGGATAACGTGATGGCGTTTGAAGCGAGGGTACTGGGTTTGAGTCCCAGAGTGAACATCAACTCTGAGATGCAGGTACATCCAGCTGACGAGTCCCAAATAGGACGAGACGCGCGTTCTGGATTCCACTGCTAGCCACTATCCATGTTTTCTTACAATTGATAATCATTATTCATTTTAATTACTCAGTAAACCCTGCATAAGAATGAAGAAGTAGAGAATTCTCTTTTATTTCGTTTTATTAAATCAACTAAATAAGTTGAAACAGTTTCTCATTCTCTTACATTCTACTCTGTTTATTTGATAAAATTCAAAGATGATTTATTGTTATGTTTGCCAGTCTATATTAGTTATATTTAGAATGAAATAAGGGTTACAAAAAATCTGGTTTATCAAAAGTCAGTAGATTAACAAATTTATCCGTGGAAGCGTCTTTTCTTGGTCATGTTAATTTTTGTGTATCCATTTGTATATATATATATATATATATATATATATATATATATATATATATATATATATATATATATATATATATATATATACTGTCGTCAAACGGCTTATTGATCAGAAGGGGTTTTTGTGGATATTTCAATATTTTCATAGTTGAGATCTCGCGGGTGCGGGATCGTGGATGCTCACTGCGGAGGAGTCCCATAATAGGACGAAACGGCCTTCCAGTTATTCCAGGTTCCTGATGGTGGTCTAGCTTCAACTGACTCATGATTTCAACTATGAAAAAACTGCTTATTGTTTGCCATGAAGCGATATTTTTTTCAGCTTTCTCAGTAATTTAGTTAGTTGAGTTCTGGTATGAAATTATGTAGATTGTATCTAAGACGTAGAACGTTGGTCATTTAATAAATAACTAAATTGTCATCAATGAACACTGTTTGATGTTAAGTTCAACTAATTTTGTTAATCATTTTGTTTAGGAAGAACTGATTGTTTCTCTACTATTCTTTCCCAACTTGAATATTATCCAAAAAGACTAAATGGAATATTGTGAATACTTTGATATAAAGCTGTTAATGCTTTTATTATTGAATAAACCAATGTTTTTAGTTGAGATTGAATGTAGTGTTTCATTCTTTGAACAAGTAAAATATGTTGACCAGTAATGATTCATTGACAGTGATTTCATATTCAATTTAGTAAGAAAACTTATTGTTGATTATAAGGTTTGTTTAGTGCTTTTATAACTAAACTTCCATATACAATCTGCAAAACTAGATTTCTTTCGAGTTCATATAGCATCCAAATAGACGAGTGGACTGTACCTTGAGAAGTAGTAGCTAATACTGGGTGAGTTGTCCAACCTGAGGTAACAAACACAATGACAGGAGTATTTGTACGTTGTACGGGGCTTGTATTTATTGGTGGCTACATTAATTCAAGGAATCAGTGAAAGATCCCTACTAAATTATTAATTTTAGGATTTAGTTATTCAAGTTATGTCTTAAATTTCACTAACATAATAGTTTAATAAGTGAAAACTTTGTAAGATCTCAGATAATAAATAATAAATATAGAAAGGAATTTTACTTGTTTAAATCCTTGATACATAATTTGTAATTCTTTTCTTGAAAATCTTGTTTTCCTTAACAATGTTTTAATACCAACAGGTTTATGTCGAACAATATGACTTTCTGGTTCCTCATAGTCTGTTTCTATGAAATGGAGAAAAATTAATATAGCGTATAAAACGGGGAAGATTGAGAAAAAGTTAAAATATATGATTTATTGTGAAACATTATGCAGTAAAATATTATCGCTTGTTAAGTAGTTAATAAGAGTCATCAGGATCGCCTAGACCCAAGTTTCGAATCATTTGGCATGCATCATCAAGGAGTGTTTGCATTCTTAGTAAAATTGATGCTGAGACGTTATTGTTCCGACCCAAATAGCTCAGTGGTAACGTCTCATAATGTGAAGTTGAGTGACCTGAAGTTAAACACATCAGAGAGGATCAATTTCCTCACAATTGCAGGTACTCTTTGCTGAATAGCGCCAACTGTTAGAAAACTAGAGTTTAGGGTCTCCTGGTAGCTTAACATCTCAAAATAGTGCCCGAGGTGATGCACTCCTCAGACCACTAACCAAACTAATTTGACCGATATAATTCAAGCAACATTAAAGGACTCACGGTGAGATAGTAAAATATTTGTAGTATCTTTGATTCTACGAAAGAACACTCAGAAAGAGCAATGTCTTTCAACATCTCCAATTATGGATTGCGGATATCTGAGAAATCCTAGCCAGAAATTATTCATTCCACCAGAAACCTCAGCTTAACCGTCGATGTTGTGATCACTTTTGTGACTTTCTGTGAACGCTGTGCTTTAAAATAAAAGATATCTCGGTGGTTTATTCTTTACACATGTTTCTTATATATTTTCTGAATATCTATATATCATAGAACAATTTAACTTAATAACTCCAGTACTTTCCTGATAATAATGCTATGAAAATACTAAATCTCCTCGAATACCCCTTCTGATTATAATAATCATATGCTCACTAGTGAGAGACTTCGAGAGGTAAATCCAAGAGTTCTAGTGAGAAGCAGTGACCAGTGGAGTTCAAACCACGTCTGTTGTGAGATAGTAACTCACTGATGACATTTGTGAATGGTTGCTCAACTTTGTGGATCGGTTGAAGTTAGACATTAACACAGCTGGATGCCTGCCAGTTCAGTAGTCTAGTGGTTAGGCGCTCTTGCGGTAGACTTTTATATATATATATATATATATATATATATATATATATATATATATATATAAACTATAATTATTTATGTATATATTTTCCGAAAATTGATTTTCTCACAAATAAACAAGAAAAAAATATTTTCAGAAATTAATTTTTGTTTTAAAATCGTACAAATTTCTTTTATAAAATCTGTTTTGATCATTATCATCAAATCACTGTTTTCTCATTAGTTATATATAATCAATAAAATAATTTTGTACATTATTTAATTACAAAGAAACAATAATTATCAATATTGTTTATTATTTTATGATCTTTATATATATGTATATATATCATGTTTTATAGGCCGAAACATTTAGTTAGATTTCAAAAGAATTAAAGACAGTTGTTAAGAATAGATGAAGATGTTTAGATATGAATTTGATCCAAAAAAGAAGAAAAGAAAAAAACAATTCTTACATCAAAGAAGACATAATCATACACTCTTGCTGAAAGTTTATTAAATAAACTTAGTAAATGGGTAAAATTAATGATTCTGATTGAAATTATAATAGCTGCTACAAACTAGAGTATTTTAGATCAAATGTTGAATAAAGCACTTAAATTATTTTGGATCCGAGTTATGTGACGTTTTCTGTTAGGTTGGTCCGAAGTCTTGAGTTCACTTAATGACAGGTTATGTGAAGCGTAGAACATTCCATACATTCTCGGTTATCATTATTGAAATTCATCTTACTATTCTAAATACGTAGTTATCCTTACACCGATAACGTACTTATACTTTTGAGTTGCCTAGATTTTACTGTACAAGTATTTAGAAACGTCTTCATATTATATGTTTTCACTGAAAAGTTAGGCATGTGAACCACATATAATAAAGCCCTTTTATGATAAGCTTACAACCTACTGCAAAGACAGTTCCTGAACCCTTTGAACCGAGCCACTTCAGTGGTTAGTACATGTTTATCTACATTTACACATTGAAGAAACGTGTATTAATCATATTGAAACTGTTATGACTTGTGGCCTTGTACCCTATTGTTATATAACGTATGATACTGCCAATTAAAGAACAGTGATTAATCGATCAGACCAATGATCCGCAAACCCATACTATCAGTCTAGAGTCCTTATCGGGCTTTCTTTCTGCTTAGCCTTGCCTATTAAGTCCAAAACACAAATCTCAGCCTCTGCGATATGAATCATGTATTTCAAACATACTGGGTTTATTTACAAACTAAACAGACCACATCACACCATAAAATAGAAAACATTTGTACAAGATTTAGCCAAATGTGGCCGTGAATGTGTGAGACCATAATTAATTAACTTGGCATAACTCAGAACGGTAAGTCGTTTAATAATAGTTTATGGGTCAAAATAAAGCTTTTAATAAGAGGAGTATAGATGTACATAATCTAGCTACTGAATAGTTATAAATTAAGAATATATGCATAATATTTGCCCATAAATAGTTCTCAAAAGTCACCATTCATAATTCTCTCCGAGATATAACAGGAACCAATGCATCTCACAAATTGTGTTTTAAAAAACATATCTCACGAATAAAACTAGTCAAAAGCATTAGTTCATCAAGACAAATTTCAGTTAATCGGCGTCAAGACACATTTTTAAATATATTTTGATGAATATTCATCAGTTAAATGGATAAATAAAGAAGATTTATTACACCATTCTATATTTTGTGATTAGAATATTTTTCTACAGTCAGACATCCGGTACAGAATAAGGCGATGACTATTCATTGAATTAAAATATATAACTTAAGTTAGCTAATTTCATTATCGCCAATGTGTAATTTTATAGAGAAAGCCTAGAGTTTAAACTAGCTAAGAAAACTTCTCTGATGTTTGTCAGTTACTCATTTTTAAATTATGTACTATTCAATCTCTCCAGGATCCAGGCAATCAATGAACGTTTAGTGTAAAAATATTTTTAACTGTTACCCAACATATACCCCTGATAATTCTACTTATAGTAATGGAAAATGTTTTCTTTTTTCTGTTTGTTTATCAAAATCAAAGTACCCAAATTTATGCAAAATTAGCATTTACTAGGCGTCATAAATGTACTAACTATATGTGAACTAAAGAATTTTAAGTCATGTATAGTATAAGCTGAATAATCTCATCTTGAATAAGAATTTTTACTATCCTTAAAAAAAAACATCACATGATTAGAATCTCTTACCAGCAAAAATTAATTGATAAAACTAATATTTAATCGGATGTTTCTTTTTTGTTTTAATCGATTAAGTTTTGGTTGATACACTGTAATCCATTTGAAAAAAACTTCAAATAATCAAACAAAATAAAGTCAGCAACAATGTCAATACACAAAACATAATTTATTAGTATGAATTGGATGTTTTAAACGCGTTCATGTTACAGTGGTAGTGAAAAAAATGTAGATATCCGTTGGTTATAGAGTTAATTTATTAGTCTATTCCCTTTTTTAAAAATAACTTTTGTAAATTGCACAAATAAATGAACTAGACAAAAGAAAACAATATTAGATAAACACGCACATTCAGAACTTTTTACGTTATATATTACTTCGGGAACACTCTAGCTTTACAGATCAGTTTTAGAATGAACTTGAGAAATTCATCTTGAACCAAGTCCAGAATGTGAAAGGAAATTTGTCGAAACCATCAGTTTCGAAGGTAAACATTATATGGATTTTCATTTACAAAATATATCGTCTAAGATCATTATCATTCATTCATGATGTTAAGATCATGAGTTCAATCCCTAGTAAGGTTATAATCATACTTTTTTGAATAATTAAATCTAGAACAAATAAAAGTTTACTGTTTCTTGAATTTTAGTTATTCTATATGCAAAATCAGTGCTTGATATAATTCTTCTTTAAATTGAATCATTTTTTATAATTCTCAATGAAATATAACAAAACATTAATCAGAAGGGGTTTTGTGGAGATTTAGTATTTTCATAGTTGAAAGCATGAGTCAATTGAAGCTAGATCACCATGGAAAACCTGGAAGCACTGGACGGCCGTTTCGTCCGATTGTGGGACCCCTCAGCAGTGCGCACCCACGACCTCGCCTCACGAGATTCGAACCCAGGACCTACCAGTCTCGCGCGCGAGCATTTAACCGATAGATCACTGAGCCGGCATCCGATGGTGTCAATGTCTAACTTCAATCAATTCATGAAGTTGAACAACCGTGGTCTGGATTCAATTGACTCATGCTTTCAACTAAGAAAATACTAAATCTCCACAAAACCCCCTCTGATTATAATCATATGCTCACTAGTGACTGACTTCAAGAGATAATTCCTGGAGTTTTAGTGAGAAACAGTGACCAGTGAAGTTCAATCATGTCTATTGTGAGATAGGAACTCACTGAAGACAATTGGTGAACGGTTATTCAACTTCGTGGATTGGTTGAAGTTAGACATTAACACCACTAAATGAAGGCTCATTTGTCTATCGGTTAAGTGCTCTGGCGCGAGACTGATTGGACCTAATTTCGAATCTGGCGAGGCGAGTTCGTGGGTGCGCACTGCCATAATAAGACGAATTGGTCGTCCAGTGTTACCAGGTTTTCCATGTTGGTCTAACTTCAATCGACTCATGCTTTCAACTAAGAAAACAATAATCATCGGTTATGTTTCATAGTTCCATTAACTCATACTAGATTATATTGACCTTATTTTACTATATTCTGATTGGTCAATATAGGTTTTGCATGAAATTTTTTTTCTATATTTCATAACAGGATTTGATCATAAACCAAGTATGGTAGATTTTTTTTCTTTTTTGTTGAAATAAGGAAAGGACATTAATAACCCTAATCAATCTATATGACTTTTCTTGTAACAAACATATCGACCTACTTAATCAACATTTCGAATCAATCAATCATTAAAAACAAAAACAAAAAAGAAAAAGAAAAAATAAACAATAA